TCAGGCAGGGATCAGTGGCAGATCCAGGGAAGGAAGAATTCTGAGGCCCGCGCCCGATGCGGGGAGCCTCCATGGAGGCGGGAGCTTTGGACTCTGGGGGTGGGGGGGGTGGGGGGGTGGGGGGGTTGGGGGGCGGGTGCGCCGCGGCGGCGGCCAAGGGCACCAGGAGCAGCCCCGCGGTTCACGACGGGAGACTCAGCAACAGTGAACAGTTCTGGGGGAGGCGCCGGCCAACGAAGGAAACGCACAGCCTCCGCCGCTTGCCCGACACCGACACCGCATTCCCGCGCCAACTGGCGTGGCCTAGGACCGTGGCAGGAAGGGGGTATTTTTCGGGTCGTTGCTTCTGCTTTTGGGGCGTGCTTCTGGCGCGACGGGGAAAGGAAAGGCCCCGCCGCGCAGCAGCGCAAGTGCGGGCTGTGGGCCTCGTGGTGGCCCGGAGGCGGGGAGGCGACAACAGGCTGGAGCTTGAGGCCTGCGGCCTGCAGGGAGCGCGCGCGCATGCGCACGAGCGGAGGCTCGGGGCGGGAGGGGGGAGCTGGGGGGCGGGGGGAGAGCGCCGGGGCGCGCGGGAGGGCGGGGGGCTCACATCCACTTCCGGCCCAGCCCGCGGCGGCTCCGGACCCGGCGCGGCGGTGTTGCTGGGTTTGGGTACCCAAATCGCAGGTATGTCGTGCGGTGCTTTCCTGGGGCGGGTTGCTTGCCGTCCATTTGGAAGTTAGGCCGGTGGCCGCACTGTGGAGTGGCGGCGTCTGCAGCAGTCGACCTCCACGTGAGGGGGGACCTTCGCCCCGCTCCTCAGCTCCTCACGGCGCTTGCGCTGGCGCTTGCCCTTCGCTTCAGGGCCCCTTTTGTGCCGCGATGCGAGAGTCCTTGGAACGAGCTTTGGAGCGTGCGGAGTATGTCATTGCGAGTGCCCAGCAGAGGCCTCCTAAAAGGAAAGGCTCGTCAAGCGGGGAAGGGTCTCTGTATGAGAAACTGTATGACCTCTATGTGGAAGAATGCGGGAAGGAGCCCGAGGCCGCGGAGGAACTAAGAAGCAACGTGAACTTGTTGGAGAAGCTCGTCAGGAGAGAGTCGTTGCCGTGCTTAGTGGTCAACCTGTACCCGGGAAAGGAGGGATATTCGCTGATGCTGGAGGGCGGAAGGGGCTCCTATTCGGAGACCATCCGACTGCCTTATAAAGAAGGGGAGTTGCTTCAATACTTGGACGCTGAAGAACTGCCTCCCGCCCTGGTGGACCTCCTGGAAAAATGTCAGGTTAACTTTTTTCACTCTGGGTGTGTCGTAGCCCAAGTACGGGACTACCGGCAGTGCAGTCGGGAACCTCCAGGCTACGAGAGCCGGCATGTCCTCCTGCGGCCAACGATGCAGACGTTAGTCTGCGACGTGCAGTCCATGGCCAGCGATCACCCGACCTGGACCCAGGAAGACAGACTTTTGCTCGAGAGCCAGCTGATCTTAGCCACTGCCGAACCGCTGTGTCTTGATCCTTCTGTATCAGTAGCCTGCACTGCAAACAGGCTGCTCTATAACAAGCAAAAGATGAACACTCGCCCAATGAAAAGGAGCTTCCAGAGGTATTCTGCACGCTCCCTGCACCTGCAGGAGGAGCTGTCTCATCGTCCACTTCCTCCTGAGCTGAGAGCGTGGGCCGCTTGCAAGAAGCGCAGACAGAGTCAAGCAGGTCAGCAGCATGACCTCAAAATCTCTAAAGCGGGGAACTGTGTAGATATGTGGATACAGAGACCCTGTGACTTGGCCGTACCTTCTGAAGTGGACGTGCAGAAATACGCCAGAGGGAAGCAGTCCGTCCGATACAATGACTTGCCACCAACAGCCTGGCCAGCCCACGAGCTAGAAGGCGATTCCGTACTTGGCTGTCAAGCTGGCGGTGAGACTGCGAGCACGCAGCTGACCGTCATGCAGCCGCCGAAGGACCCACCTTTGTCCCGAAACAGAAGGGCCTGCAAGGAAGCCAGATGTGAGGGACAGGGGTCTCGTCCACACTCCTCCACGGATGACCCTCCAGACGGTGTCCTGCCTGGCTCAAAGACGGATGCTGGGACGGCAGTCATTCGGTCAGAGGTCTTGGTCCAGCAGAAGGCCAAGTGTCCCGTCACCGTGTCACACCGCTCCGGTGGCTCAGCCGGCCCCAGCCAGCCGCCTCCTGGGAAAGAGCCGGCACGGCCCAAGATGGTGTGGGTTTGCTCTTCAGTCCTGGGGAAGGGGGTCAGCCGTCCACCCGTACGCTTCAGACTTCCCGGGAGCTCAGGAGGGACGAGGCCAGGGAACAGTTCTACCCCGCTGGAGGCAAGCGGCTTCTTTAAATCTCTACCTCCTGCTCCGAAGCCTCCGAGTCTTCTCCAGAATTCCTCTATGGGTGCGAATCGAGTGAGCACATTTCCTGCAGCCGCCCTGTCCAGCGCCAGCTCCTCACAGAGAACCATGGCCCCCCCGGTCACGGCCACCTGCCTGCAGTCCTCTGTGAGACTGACTCGAGTTAGCACGCTTCCTGCAGCCACTGTGTCCACCGCCAGCTCATCACAGAGAACCCTGGCCTCCCCGGTCACGGCCAGCTCCCAGCAGTCTTCTGTGAACGTGATTCCAGTTAGCATGCTTCGTGCAGCCACTGTGTCCACTGCCAGCTCCTCACAGAGAACCCTGGACCCCCCGGTCACGGCCAGCTCCCAGCAGTCTTCTGTGAAAGTGATTCCAGTTAGCATGCATCGTGCAGCCACCGTGTCCACCGCCAGCTCATCACAGAGAACCATGGCCCCCCTGCTCACGGCCATCTTCCCTCAGTCCTCTGGGACAGTGACTCGAGTTAGCACGCTTCCTGCAGCCACTGTGTCCACCGCCAGCTCATCACAAAGCGCCCTGGCCTCCCCGGTCACGGCCAGCTCCCAGAAACCCTTTGAGAAAGAGGTGACTCGAGCTAGCACGCTTCCTGCAGCCACCCTGTCCCCTCCTGGCTCATCCCCAAGAAGCCTGGCCCCTCAGGTCACAGCACACCCTCCTGGCCCCAACACCATCAAAGTGCTGGGCTCTCTTTGTGCAGCCCAGGCTTTGGCGGGGGCTTCCAGCCGCGGGCAGGGCTCTACCACTGGGGCCACAGCGCCTGCAGGAACGAAGCCCAGCAGCCTGCCCTCGGGAGCTCGGCCCCCGGATGCCGTGCCCGCCGCCCCACAGGCTGCTTCCCCGGTCCTCGTTCCGTTGCTTTTAAAAGATGCTTCAGGCCTCACGTCGGTGACTCTGCTGGAGCTTCCGCAAGGCTCACCCGCTTTGAACGCCCAGCAGCAGCCACGGCAGCGGCTCTTTTGGCTGATCTCAGGAGCAGGACGTCAGCAAGCCTCGGCTTCTGGGCCTCAGCAGCCAGCGCCCGGGGGTCCCGGTGCCCAAGGCTCAGCCCGTCCAGAGACGGCCTCGCCTGCTCAGCAAGCCGTTGTCTTCAGCCTCCCCGGACAGGGGACTTCGCTGCAGCCCCACGCATCCGGGTCGGCTCCACGTGGCTGTGCTGCGGACAGCCAGCTGAGAGCCGGGCCAAGCGGCCCTTGCCACACACTGCAGCCGTCCCCTGCCTCGCAGCCGGGGCCACCGCAGCAGGTGCAGCCGAGTGGCATCTCGCAGCACCCGGTGGAGGTGACAACACTGGCCTCCCAGATAACTCCGCCATTGTGGGGCCAGGGGGCCGGGAGCCCGTCCAGAGATCAGAAGAACAGAAGCACGCCTTCCCCTCCCAGATCCTGAGTCTTGCATTCTTTTCTCTCTGTTTAAAAACACCAGAGCATCGGCCCAAGTGAACTCCGAGATTTTACTTCGTTTGGAGTTTCTTTTGTTTTGTTTTTTGTTCTTAACGTGTCCTTATCAGTTTGGGTCGCCAGGGTGGCTCATTCGGTTAAGGGTCTGACTTCAGCTCAGATCATGATCTCGGGGTTCTTGAGGTCGAGCACCACATCGGCCTCTGTGCTGACAGCTCAGAGTCTGGAACCTGCTTCAGGTTCAGTGTCTCCCTCTCTCTTTCCCCTCCCCTGCTTGTGCTCTCTCTCTCTCTCTCTCTCTCGAAAAATGAATATACGTTAAAAATTTTTTTAAATGGTTTCACTGCACAGAATCGGTACTGAAGTGACCTATTCGTGTTTATTCATTTTTGAGAGAGAGAGAGAGAGAGAGAGAGAGATTGCGCGTAAGTGGGGGTAGGTCAGACAGAGAAGGAGACACAGATCAGAGGCAGGCTCTAGGCTCTGAGCTGTCAGCACAGAGCCTGATGCGGGGCTTGAACTCACCAGCCATGACATCACGACCTGAGCCAAAGTCGAATGCATAACCAACTGAGCTACCCAGGCACCCCTGAAGTGACCTATTAAATAGGAGAAACACCTTTTAGAAGAATGTAGCTTGGCGTGTTTTGAAAAGTTGTGTGCAGCGTATTACATGCAACCTTTACAAATTTGTTTTGAAAGAACTTGTGAAAACTTCCAAAACATGGTGCTTGTCTCGCTCATCTGGAGGATGTGGGAGCCCTCCCAATGTGCAGAGTGGCTGAGCCCCTGAGGGCGCCCGTGCCGATGGCGGTCCCCAGGCTGAGCTCAGCCCTTCTCCAGGTACAATCACTGGCCTTGAAAAAGCACTTGTGGGAGGTCTTTGCTTTCTCTCTATCAAATCCTTTACTTGTGTTAGAACTCCAGGTTATCTGCAGAAATGGAACAGCTACACATTTGAAGAAGTTTTCTTTGTTTGCTTTTCAAGTTTGCGACCTTGTTCACTTCTCATGAGGAATCCACCCCCTGTTCCTGCCTGTCCCTTTCTGCTCATCATCAGTTGTTCAGCAGCCCCTGCCCCCTCGTGTCCATTCCTTCTGTCTTGTGTCACGGGGCTCCGCAGATCCCCGAAGTTCGTCTCATTGGCCTTTCTTTTTACTGACATGTGATTCACATAAGCGACAAGGAACCATTTTAAAGTTAGGGCCCAGTGGCCTTTAATACCTTTACGTTGCCGTACAGCCACCTCTTGTGTTTCCAGAACATTTCATCACCCCAAAGGAATCTCTGTAGCCCTTAAGCACGGGGGCCCCGTCCTCCCCTCCCCCAGCCCTGAAAACACCGACGTACTTTCTGGCTGTGGACTTCCCTCTTCTAGATGTTCGCCGGTGATGGGAGTCCAATGGCATGTGACCTTTTTTGTCTGGCCTCTTTCACTTGGCCTAGTGTTCACGGTTCATCTGTGGTGTAACATGGATCGGGTTTCGTCCGTTCTTTCATGGCTGAAGAATGTTCCCCTGTCCGCATAGACCGCATTTAGTTCATCCTTTATCCACTGACGGACACGGAGTTTGCTTCCACCCTTTGGCCATTGTGAACAGTGTTGCTGGGATCATTGGTGTTTGAGAGCTTCTTCTAGTTTGTTCCGTTACCGTTTTCCAAGAGCAACCTGTCTGCTTAAACTTTGTTGTCTGTGTACACACGCATGTGTCCCTGCCTCTTGTCCTGACAGAGAAGGGAAATGTGGTCTGGCAGTTCCAAAATCGATGAGTGAAGAGGCAGGTAGCTGGTGGGTGGCTCCTGCTTGAGCAGCCCGGCTGTGCTAATGTGCTGTGGATCCTGGCGAGGGAGGATTTTGGCCACCTCCGAGCAAATAATCAGGTGTGCCACGGGAGGGACAGGGAGCCCACGAGAGCTTCGTGTAAGCCATCGTGGACATCTTTGAGTGTGGTGGCAGCACTTCGAAGAAGTGAACTTGCTCAGAAGAGTGTCCGCTCGACCTTGGGAACCCACTAGACACCTGCGCTCAGAATCTCACCTGATGCGATGTACTTGTTTCCTTTTGCCCTCCCTCTGGCCCTCTTAGTCCTGGTGACCCTTGAACAGTGTGGGGGTTAGGAGTTACGATTCCCCACGTGGTCAGAAATCTGTGTGTATAGCTTTTGCCTAACCCAAAACTTAATTCCTAGTAGCCTACTGTTGACTTAACCAGTCGAGTGCTAGATTTTGTACATTATATGCGTTATATACTGCATTCTTACAATAAAGTAAGTAGAAAAAGTAAAATGTTAAGGCAGTTATTAGGAAGAGGAAATACTGTGCAGCATTTATCGAGTAAAAACTTCATGTATGTTGGCCCATAAATTTCAAACCCATTGTGTGTAAGGTTGAACTGTACTGCTGGGAGACACCATCTGAACTTGTGCTTGAGGAATGTGATGCTCCCCTCCTGGGCTACCAAATAAATTCAGGTTTGTGTCATTATTACTATGTGGTGGCCTTTATTTCCTTGTAATGATCCTTCCCAATGCTGGAACTTCATGCAAGGTCCCTTTTGAGGATATTCTCTGGATGTGTGTTTTGAGTCAACTTTACATTGATTTTGGTATCTTGAGAGCTTGGAAGGTCTTCCCTACCCCAGGTCAAATTTATCATCTCAGTCGAAATTAGTTCATGCGGGTTGTGTCTTCATGAGTTCCGGGCCTAGCGCAGTGCCATGGTTGTGTGAAGGTATATGGCCCCAGAATGGTCAGCCAGGGAGCAGAAAAGATGGCTCAGGAGATGTTCATCCAGGACAATCCAGGTGCAGCCAGGATAACATGACATGTTGGGCACCTGAGGCCTCTGTCATAGGCTGAAGTTTGGCAACAGAATTGTATTTTTTGAGCGTACCTGCAAGTGCAGAGAAGAGTTTAGCTCCAGGTCACCGCTATCCAGCAGAAGTATAATGTGAGGCCCCTATATATAATTTTAAATTTTTTAGTAGTCCTGTAAATGGAAACAGGAGGATTACCCTTAATAATTAATTTTACCCGATATATTGAAAAGGTTATCATTTCTACATGTAATTAATATTTTAATATCCTTAGTGAGATGTTTTACATTCTTTTATTTTTACTAAATTTCAAAGTCCAGACAGTTACAGCCTTTCTCAATTCAGATGCTAGAGTTTCACCAAAATTACTTGATCTGTACTCAGATTCTTTGAAAATCTATAGTTGAAAATGTAGATTCATCTTGCAGACATATTTAGAAGTTTTCCAATAATTGGATCAAGTACCAGTATTTGAATTTAAATTAGTCAAAATAAAAAAAATACTTTCTGAGCCTCACTAGCCACGTCTCAAGTGGTCAGTTGCCGCACGTGCCTATGTGCCACTTGGAGAAGGAGGTTCTAGAGGGACAAACAGCCAAGCAGATCATAGAGACAGAGCCTCAGGCGTGAAGTGGTACCAGTGCTGGAGAAGAGGCGGGAGCCAGGCATCGGAGCACACGGTTGGACAGGGAGTGACCATTGCTGACTGTGTGTGCTAAGCCAGGGCTCCCAGAAACGCTCAGGGCTTCTGGTCACCTGGACCCGAAGCCTCAGGGAGAGAGTAAGTGGCCAGGGCCATGAGGCAGGGCAGAGTACTTGAGACAGGAAAACAAGGGGCAGCTTTTTCCCAGGCTCTGCTCTGCCAGATTCAAAATGCACATGGAGGGGGCAGAGACCATCCCAGCAGTTTGTAACTCACCTATTCCACCCGTGCTCCCCCTCCCCCAAGGAGCTTGGAACCTGTGGGAATTCAAGACAGGAGACACACCACCTGCTCTTTCACTCTTCTTCCCTGTCCATTTTCTTTTTTTTTTTTTTTTTTTTTTTTTTTTTTTTTTTTTTTTTTTTAAATGTTTTATTTATTTCTAGGAGAGAGAGAGACAGCGTGAGCAGGGGAGGGTCAGAGAGAGAGGGAGTCACAGACTCGGAAACAGGCTCCAGGCTCTGAGCTGGCAGTCAGCACAGAGCCCGACGCGGGGCTCGAACCCACGAACCTCAAGATCATGACCTAAGCGAAAGTCGGACGCTTAACCGACTAAGCCACCCAGGCACCCCTCCCTGTCCATTTTCTTGATCTCTTGCTCCTCAGTGTGGATGAAGCCAGAGCAGCCATGACTTGGTAATTGTGGGAGCCGGGGTGATGGGTACATGGAGGCTCACGGTATTATTCCCACTACTTTGGCATATGTTTGTTTAAAAAAATTTTTTTTTATCATTTATTCATTTTTGAGAGACAGGGTGCAAGCAGGGGAGGTGCAGAGAGAGGGAGATACAGAATCCGAAGCAGGCTCCAGGCTCTCAGCTGTCAGCAGAGAACTTGACGCGGGGCTCGAACCCACTAGCCCTGAGATCATGAGATTATGACCTGAGCTGAAGTCGAAAGCGTAACCATCTGAGCCACCCCGGCGCCCCTACTTTGACATATATTTGTGATTGGCTATATCTAGCCATTTGAACAGTCAAGTTCCTGATGTCCCCACAGCCTCTTTACACACCTTCCGCATCCCAGCCCTCAGCGGGTGGCAAGTCCTGCCTGGCCTGGCCCTAGGCTTGCCAGTCCTTCTTTCCTCTTTCACTCCCATAAGCCGCAGGCAGCAAAGGGTGTGCGAGTTAATTGTTAAATTCAGTTCAACAAGTTCCTCATTAGGGACAAATTACCTGAGTTTGAAATCTGCTAATTTTCCAATCAGAGTGAGTGTTTGCACTTGTGATTTGGAAATAATTACCATATGGTAAAAGCAAAACCTATGTGGGGATTCAAGTAAAGGTGAGGGAGGACAGGAGCTTTTTTTGGTATCTTCCCTGGTAACTCGAGTTAGCATATGCAGATTAGTTGGGGTGCCTCTGCCGTTTGGGTGGGAAGGCTCACCTGTGGCACTGTTTTGCAAAAGCTGTTTACTTCATGTGTTAATGCCCCTGAAAGGTGACCTTGGCCTTGAAGGGAGAGCAGTGTG